ATCAAATAATAATTTTTAAAATACGTTAAAACTTTTACAACTATTTTTACCTACAATTAAATATACTAAACACTAAATAAAAACTATTTCAACAAGTATTTATATAAAACTATTTACGTAAACAGCGTTAAAAACTTTAACATTGAATCGCGTACATCGCGCTAGCCCCGACTGCGTATAACGCCCAGGGCGCCTCGCGATTTTAGGTAATTATTTCACGCAGGTAGCAAGAGTGACAGAGCCTGACTTTAGGAACAACCATTTGCAAATGACAGCAGTCTCCCCACCCCCCCCTTTTTCCCCTTCATCCATTCCAGAATCGGCTTGGTGTCTGGATCTTCCTGCTGTGCATGTATTAAGCTTTCCTTCCACTCGTTGCTTAGGTGGTCTGTCCTGATCTGATCTGATGTCCTCACAGATACCACTTCCTTACCCTCTTGCCCAGTACAATGCTTGCAATCTTCAGGACAATGTCTTCTTGACAATTCATCTGCGTTGCCATGAGATTTCCTGCGATGTTCGATGACAAAGTCGTAATCCTGCAGTAGTTCAATCCACCTCGCAACTTATCTTTCTCGATTTTTGAGCTGCAATAGCCATTTCAGTGCAGCATGGTCAGTTCGTAAGTGAAATTTCCGCCTCAGTAGATATTTGCTAAAATGCTACAACGACTTTACCACAGCAAGCAATTCCCGTCTTGTGACACAATACTTCCTTTCCGGCTTTGACAACGACTTGCTGTAGTACGCTATCAGAAATTCTTAATCACTATTCCGTTGTGACAACACACCGCCAAGTCCTATATGACTTGCATCTGTGTCAACTATAAATTCCTTGCCTGCATCAGGGTACCCCAAAATTGGTGTTTTGCACAGACGGTCCTTGAGCTCCTGGAACGCGATATTACAACTTCCATCCCAGCAGAAATGTCGCTTCTCCTCGGTTAGCTTGTGTAGAGAATTGGTTATATCTGCAAAGTTCTTCAAAAAATCACCTATAATAGGAGCACAAACCCAAAAATGCTCTAACCTGCGTCTTGTCTTTTGGAACCGACCAACCCTTAACAACGGCAATTTTCTCTGGATCCGTGGGGATACCTTCTTCCGACACTACATACCCCAAAAAGTTAACTTGCCGTCGGAATAGTGAACATTTCTTCGAGCTCAACTTGAGGTTGGCACTCTGAATCTTCATGAGCACGCGCTCCAGGTTTTGAAGGTGTTCCTCAAACGTACGGCCTACGATGATGATGTCATCCAAGTAGACCAGACAGGCATCGCCAATTAGCCCGGTAAGTACAAGCTCCATCAACCTTTCAAATGTTGCTGGGGCATTGCACAATCCAAACAGCATTACTTTAAATTGCCACAGACCTTTTCCCGTCGAGAACGCGGTTTTCTTCCTGTCTTTAAGGTCAATTTCAACTTGCTAGTAGCCACTTTTTAGATCCAGCGTGCTAAACCACATTACTTCTGTATGCATGTCCAGCGTGTCATCAATTATTGGCAAGGGATAGCTGTCCTTCTTTGTAACGTCGTTCAGACGGTGGTATTCAATACAAAACTCTGCCATCCTTCTTCTTTACCAGCACAATGGGTGAACACCGTGGACTTGATGAAGGTAACACCATCTTTCACCATTCCTTCAGCCATGGTTTCCACTTCCTTTTCACCTGCTACCGGCAATCTTGTTGGCGGCTGACGGATAGGCAATTCTTGTCCTGTGTTTATTTTGTGTTGAACTAAGCCAGTTTTCCCTATGTCAGCATCGTTTGACGAGTATACATCAGCAAGTTGTTACTCAAGTGAGTAACAACTTTTTCGCCTTGACCATTTCATTCAGGGAGAGAACGCTGCGACAGTCTTCTAAAAGTGTGGTCACTCTCGTTTGTGCATCCTTGTTGGGGATCCCACTCGATAGATATTGGCACCGACGCAACCAATCCACTTCCTCACAAGTACCAACCAATGTGCCTTTTTCTACAATCTGTTCCTGGCCATAAAGGTTCGCACACGTACTCCTGAGATGTTAGTGGTTCTGACGAAAGTTCGAACTACTTTCCATGGAAGGTTTTTGCTTACCCTTTCTACTATTACACAACGATGAGCTTGCCCAGTGTTCCGAGGAAGACTAACTGGCACGATTGTTTCCGATCTCGGCGGAAGAACAATCTTCTTAAGGTTACAGGGTACACGTTCCCTGGTAACGCCTCTTCCACAAAAAGTTCCTCCTATCCACATTTCAAAACACCTTCCTTAACGTCGATATCACAACAATTATTCCTCATAAAGTCTAGGCACAGGATGCAGTCGTCCATTATATCACCCACGATGACATTATGCAGGTAGATCATCTTGCCTAGCTTCAACTCCATCTCCTTCTCTAAACGGACGGGTATGCGCTGACCAGTGGCTCCAAGGAATTGACTTATAAGTCGGGAACTGACAACCGTGCGAGAGGCTCCAGTGTCTATGGTCAGTTTACACGGCATTCCATTGATCTCGCCCTTGATGATTAAGCTGTTCCCATCACGGGTTTGTAAGATCAAAATCTTTGAGACTCTTTTAGCATCAGGGCGGTGCTGTTCACCGCACTACCCTCTCGAGATCGATCACCTTTCCTTTCTACAGTTCGCTTAGGGCAGCTGGATCGAAGATGGCCCCTTTCCCCACAGCCATAGCACCTTGAGCTGTATCCTTTATTGCTGTCGTGCCTCCCTGACGCGATGGGAACGAAGATCCCGCCGCACGGCTTCCAAAACAGAGCGGGCCTAGGGTGAGTGCAATCATGGCCTGACTTTTATTCCAGCCGTTCGCCTCAGTGACATTCTCAAACTGGATTTTGTAGGCCGACCATGAAGAAGTTTCGTCGAACGGCGGCACTTTGAATCCACGTAGCGAAGGTGTTGTAGCTACTACGGGAGCTGTAATTCCATCCCCAAGTTTGAGTTCTTCCAGTGTTTTTTCACTTGGTTGATTTGGGTTTCAGCTTTCGATAGGCGGTTGTCATATTGAGCAACCCTATCCTTCACCCCCCTTATCTTTTTCCCGAAGGTAGCGTGAAGGTCCTTCATGAGGAGCAGCTGCTCTTCCTTATCGCGTTTGAGCTGCTTTTCCAAACGGCGGGCCTGTTTCTGCTGCTCTTTCAACCAACGAACCTGTTCCTCCTGTCCACGCTGCAGCTGCTCTTCCGACTGACGGACCTGTTCCTCCTGTCGATGGGCCTGTTCCTTCTGTTGGCGTGCCTGTTCCTCCTGTCCACGCTGCAGCTGCTCTTCCGACTGACGGACCTGTTCCTGCAGCATCATCATCAGAGCACCTAAGTCAGGTGCTGTAGATGTAGGAGCTGCAGACGGGCCGGCCTCCGTGGCCGGCCGCTGGCCCTCCGACGTCTGTGGAGTTACACAACCAAATCTTCTCTGGGCCGTCTCCTGCTGGCGTTGACTTCGGATACGGATACCCTCCGTGTCGTCCTTCGGTAAAATCGGCATGGTTTAATCCTTCTGACAACAATTGTTACGAGCTTAGGATTCGTGACAGTAAATGCTGTCGATTGAATTACTAAAATTGACACTTTAATTACCGAACACTAATTAAAATTTAAAACACACAAATAATTAATCACACTTAACACTTTATTTCGATCCGAAGTCTTCGCTTGTGTCGCCAATTCAATACTGTCCCTGTCGAGCTCCTTACCGACTTTATATCTTTATATAGGACCTTTTCCACCGAAAACATCTAGAATCTTCGAGTAAAATGTCGAAAGTACGAGGGCTTTCTGGAGGATTCTTTGCTAGAGCAAAGAATCCTCCAGAAAGCCCTCGTCACTCGCACTAGATGGCGCTAGTGGAAAAGTTTTAGAAAGATCTTGACACTCTTATTTCCGCTACTTGATACTACATGGCGCTAATAATCGCCCTCCATATACCGGGCATTAATTATGCAATAGAACAAAGTACTTGCCGCCCGGTTTTTATAAAGTCATCTCTTAAGGAGCAGGGATTTTAAGTACCAAATATTTACGTCAGACCGCGGTTGAGGGCGGCGGCGATGTTAAAACAATTATGAGCCTAAATTAAGTCATAAACTTGCGCAGCTTACAAGAAATTTAACGTTTTATCTTTGCTTATTATAACACATATTTACGATAATCTGTAGTCGTCAAAAAATTAAAGCATTTAAACACTGGTCCAACGTGTGTTTAGTTAGACACGGACTTAAATGATAAACATACGTTAAACAATGGTTTAAATTTCGCTACCACTAAACTGTGTTTAACGCGTGCCTCTATAGACAACGTTTATCTTTAACAAACTTTATTCTCCAGGTTACACTGCAATACATTCGTTAATCATTCGATCATTCGTTTTGTTTTACGCAAATTAATACGACTAACTACGTAAAAATTTAATTTTGTTTTATCTCAAAGTTCGATAATAAAAAATAGATATATCATTTCTTAAATTTTTCATGAGTTATTTTATTTATGAACAAAAACATATCAGTTATGCTTGGCATTTAGATGAAGATAAATGTGAAATTATGTCAAACGCAACGTCTTTTTATAGATGTCAATGCTCAATGCAGTAAAAGATTATATATGTATAAAGTAGACTTGGCCTTTATGGTTTTTGAAAATATGTAGAATTAAAGAAAATAAAACTTGGCTTCGGCCTTTATGGACTTTGAAGAGATGGAAAGAAAAAAATAAGACTTGGTTCCTGCCTTTACACTTCAAAATTCTATATATTCAAATTAAAAAAACAAGGCTGTATGGCTTAGTTCCTTTGCCTGCTCTCTCGAGCGAATAATAAAAACAACATCAATGCAGTAATCTATGGCTCAATGTCAGTCAAGCGTCCGTTACTCCGTAATAAAAATTTAAAGCAATTTAAGATATCAAGTTTGCCGCGACCGTTGCTAGCATCGTGTTGTTTGTGAATTGTTTCGCTGTATTGTGTTATATTAATTTGTGTTCACTTTTTGTCCTTTTAAATAATGGAATCGAAAGCAAATATTGCTCCTGAGAATCAAAAGAATCGTGCACGAGGCGAAAATTGGACCCAAGAGGAAAAGGTTAGTTACGCTTATGTACTATTCGTTTTAGGAAATTGGTCATCTGTGGTGACAAGTTTTTTAAGCCGCATGAGCTAATTATAAGAATATATAATAATAACACCACTTGCTTTAGAATAGAGTAGAATAGAAATTATATTTATTTTCTCATAACAAACAGGTACAGATGATATTGATGTCAAACATGCGTATCACAGACTACTAAGAGGATACTACGCATCAGACAAGAATCTTAGAACAACCGATAGGGAGCCAGTAGTTAAGAGTTTGACATTTGTTTACTTCTAGGGTATGTTCCGAAACACAACGTATAGTGCCACCAACTTATCTGTTCAGTTTACAGAGTCGCTAGTGGAGACTATTGCCATTTAAGAAATTCGCCGAGGAAATAGGTGACTACATATTCATTAGGTACACATAATATAAAATAAAACAAATTTCGTGTTAATATATTAAAATTAGTGAGAATTAGTGTTATTATATATATTATTTATATTTTATAAAAATAATTGTGGTCGTGGTCTCGGAGTTCAAGCGGCCGAACTCCAGGAATTTCTGTTTTGAAAGACGTACCCGCGTTAGCTACTGATTCCAATAATTCATCTTCTGAGTCACTGGAATCGCTTTCGCTATCGCTCTGACACTCTATAATAAAGGATTCATCTAAATACGCGTCTTTTTAGTCTGTATGCATTTTCAATTTTTTTCACATGATTACAAATGTTTTTCCACTGCACCGGTGTAATTTTATTGAATGCATCTTCAATTAATTGGGGCATTAGAACATTAGATTTTCCAACATTTTTGTCTGCTATGTTCCTTTTCATAGAGCTCCATATCATTTCAATTGCGTTCAAGACGCAATGATAAGGCGGCAATCTAAGAATAACATGGCCATAACTTTTCATCAGGTTATCAATTTCATATTCCGGAGCAGGTTTATTTTTCTTTATTAACTCATAAAGCTGTGGTTTTGTCATTTGTTCATTGAAATCCACATTGTTTTCTACAAGCCACTTCTGCATATCAGCCTTACTGTGGTTTGAATTAGGACACCTATTTACGCAAATACTATGGTATGGCGCATTATCAATCACAATGAGAGAAGGTTCATGCAGATTAGGTAGTAATTTTTCATATACCCATTTTTTGAAATTAGTGCTATTCATTTCATCATGGTAGTCCCCATACTTTGTATTTGATTTAAATACGAGAAGTGCATTTTCCTCAAAACCTTTTTCTCCACCTGCATGGATTATGATCCACCTATTACCTTTCGAAACAGGTTCCAAATCGCCATCCTCTTCAGGACCTTACCAACATTTCCCAGTTGAGTGAGACGAATGTATGTAAGTTTCGTCTAAATAAATAATAGGTCTTTTTTCACCACACTCATTTTCTTTAATTTTTTGTAGGTAGGTTGCTCTCCATGCAACTACGTCGTTACGTTCATACAACACTTTTCTATTTGATTTTGTTTTCTTATAACGAAATCCTATTTTGTGAAGCAATTTTCGAAGAGTTTCACGTTCTGCTTTGAAATCAATATCTTCTTTTAAAATACTCAGTAATTTGGGTATGGTAGGAATTTCTTTTTTCACTGAATAAAATTCGTGAATTTTTCTTATAACACCAATGTCGAAATTATCAACTTCTTGTTTCCCGGTTTTTCTTTGCCTTTTTTGCCAGGGGTAGAAATTTTAGAATTTGATTCTTCAGCGTGTTTCTCCATTTACGAGTTTGTGTACAAATCGCTCAGAAACACCTGTAACGAAACGACAAATAATTATTGTATAGGTAAAATTAAATAAATATAAGCCCGTGTATATGCCGTCACTATAGCTACTTCGCAGACCACAAATTACAAAGCTAGGTAATTTAGACGAATTACAGTAAATTGAGAATTTTTTTTTACTATGTTTCACAAGTACATTATTAGGTGATTTTAATTTTCCATATCTGGCAATACTAACCTGTCGCGGCAGTAACGCGTTCATACAGCTTTTCAAATGGTATAATTGGGGCTTGTACACGTTTCTCTTCTTTCATAAAAGATAAAACTTTTAGGATAATCTGTCGCGCATCACTTTTAAGAGCTTTAGGCATTTTATTTGCACTTTTTAAAAACACTCACCTGATAGCTCAGAATAAATAATAACTGACAGCGAAATGTCATTTACAAAATGGCGGCCTTAGTTCCAATTTTGTCCACCTGAACAGATAAGTTGGCACTATAGTGTACTGTCCAATGCAAATAACGTCATGAATCGACGCTATACTTCCAAAACATTGGACAGTATATGACGTCATACTTTTGCGCCATTTAGAAAAGTGTTGGCGATTATTTTGTCATTTTGTGCTCCGAAAATCATTATATCCTCCTAATGGATATACCATCAATTATTCTATAATTTTTTGTATTTGAATAAATAGAAACAAATTCTGGCATGCTTCATTCGGCAAACACACAATTAAAAATTGTTTTATTATGGCCAGATATCCGACACAATATGGCGGTGGCACGCTAGTACAATAAAGTGTCAAATGATACGTCATTTGCATTGGACAGTACACTGCATTGTATTTCGGAACATACCCCTAATTTTGAGGTATCAGACAAAAGTACATCATGAAAGCAACAAAGACACATTGATAAAGCCTGATTTCATTCACGTACCTAACAGCTATTCACCAATAAAAGTTGACAATTTTAAAATCTTTAGAACTTATAATACAAAAATAAAACAACTTATATATTAGTTATTAAGGTTTTATTTTTTTCTTTTGAAATTATTTATAAACTTTATTTAGCATTTGCGGCAATTGGTTACTTTATTTTAATCTCACAATATCAAATTATTTTAAGATTTTAATAACTACGTTACACCAGTTTCGTATACATTATTTTATCGTTATTGAAACAAAATATTCTAGAAGAGCTTGTTTATGACTCGGCATGTTAAGAAATCAGACGAATATTTGGATTTAATTTCTGTATGCTTTTTTTTTAAATTTCATAAGAATTTGGTTTCACTTCCAAATATTAGTTTGTTTCTTTACAACGGTTGAAATATACCTCACTGCATATTCTGAGGGATAGGTTGATTTTTGTTTTTATTTTAAGTATATACTCTGTGAGAAATCCATTGGTGGACTGACAACTGACTTTTTTAGAGGACACAATACACTCCTTGTCCTCTATATTAACAAATCTCATTACCTCTAATTTTTTTAGGAATTAGTTCAAAGGGATTCATGCTCTGATGAATTCATTACAGCTTGCTTTAAGGGCTTCACTTTGTTTCTCCGTCTAGGAGCTGTTTCCTTACATGAATCAAATAGGTAAGTCCTCGAAAAATGACAAAGCTTCTGAAGTATTTTTTGACGTCAAGTTAACAGGTTTTCTATCAGCTTAGTAAGCTGTAACATAAAAATAAATATAATGTTAGCCGTAGAAACCATAAATTTATGTTATTTGTTTCTCTTTTATTCTTATGTTTTTTTTTTACTTTTTATAAGCCAGTGCTTGACCACAATCCCGCCTGGTGGTAAGTGGTGATGCAGCCTTAGATAGTAAATCGCACTGTCTTAGCGTCACAAAACCCTATTCACTCTTGCCTTGTTCGGACGGAAAGATAGACGCTGGCAAATTATTCCACTTCTTTGCTGTACGCATTAAAAAATTCGAAGTAAACCATTTGGTTCTAATGTGTGGAATATCAACAACAAAGGGGTAAAGACCCGCCGATCGCCTGGTCGTTATGCAGTTAATGTATCTAGAAAACTGGACCAAAACTGCAAAAAATTTTAATATTTTATAAAAAAAATAAGTTATTTAAGATACTTTCTTATTCAGTGAAACAAACTTGATGTAAAGATTTTACTAACATAAGACTAACAAATATTAGTTGATAATGTCTTAAACTTGTTTACTTAAATATCAGAAAATTACAAAGCTGCTTTACTTTCTATAATACAAAGACTTAGGTGATACTTATAGTGGTTGTTGCTAAATAAATAATTTGACTATACTTAAAAAAAAATTTAGAACATTGACTATTCATTTCAAACAGTTATTTTTTATCTTGTTGTAGACTTTTTTGTTAATTTATTGTTATAAAGGACTTAGTCGCTAAGCTACCACATCATCCCATTCTGACTACAATTACTTAATCACTACAATCAAATAAAAAATGTATTAAAGTAACAATAGTTATGTGCATTCTGACTACAATTACTTAATCATTACAATCAAATACAAAATTTATTAAAGTAACAATGGTTATGTGCAATAAATACAACTATAAATAATCACACCTGAGGAATAAGTGGAACTATAAATAGTCACACCTATTCCCTACACAGAAACAAGTCTGCTAACTTGACCAGCATTTTAGCCTCCTTCGACATTGGATAAGCCAAAATACTGTTCAAGGTGCCAAAGTGAAAATTCCTATCACTACCAAAACATTCTAATTGCTTCATTCAAGACACATTCCATCAAAATATGTTAGAAATTTCCAACTATTCCGCATATGTCATGATTTGATGTTGGCACTTTTTTCATAAAAGAAAACTTGTTCGATGGAATATGTAATCTAAGAATAGGTCTTATGTAGTTTCTTTTTAGTGGACAATTATTTGTTCACAAATTACAAGTTATTTGTGGCTGAATTGTTCAATACCAGATACTCTTCAACAGACTGACAGTTATATGTAATAACTTGGCAAATGGCATCCAGTGAATAATAATTTTGAGATTGCAGTTTTAAGATTGATTTTATTACATCATAGGCAATCTGTTCACCTCTCACTTGAGAGGCACATCCAAATCCTATAAAAACATCAATACATAATGAAATTTAGATAGATAACAAAATTTAGGAAAGAATTATTTCAGTGATATTGACAGATTATTCTGCAAGAGCATTACAATTGTGACGGGGAGAGAGTTATGCAGAATTATACTAAAAATACAAGATCAAGCAAATGTGAATAATAGAAAAATAAGATTACCATAGTTATCCATTTCCAGAGCAGGTATTCCAGTATTTATTTTGTCAGCCGTAGATAAGGTGGTAAGACAATATGGTGAAGAAGCAAACTACTGGTAACAAATCTCGCCCCGAAATGCTTATGACACACAAACAATTTATGTAGCTCTTCTGCATTGAGCTGCTTTAATTTTTCACAATTTATTTTTTCCACACACTTGAGTCTTAGCTCAGTCTTCGGAAAACAATGTAATTTAACATTATGACGCTTGCTTTCACAATGCGAAACACAACAAGCATTGTTCATGATGAGTACACAATTTTTAACGTGAGAGGATAAGCATGGAGTTTAACACTTCAAAGTAATTTCATTTGATCAAATCCAAATTTCCAAAACTCCACCAAACTGTATTGAAATTGAAATAATGAATACAGAGTACCTTTGTATAAACTGAAAATAATGAAAGGAGTATCATGTTCCTATATCCTCTTAATAGTCTCTGTTCTCTGTGAATAAAAGTTATGGAAGTTTGAAACTCAATCTGAGGTAATAAGAAATGTCATATTCTAAACTACGGGTTTGAATCTATGGTTGAAAATAAGGGCTAATTTTTTTTGTTCTAGATTCCATGCTGTGATGCGTATTGTTCTTTACTTTTTTAATTACCCAAATATTTACTACTTTCAGGATCTGTTTTTGGAACTAATGAGGCAGTCAGAGCCTATTATAGAAAATAAATTAACGGATACTGATACAAATAAAAGAAAGAATCTAGAGTGGATTAGAGTACAAAAGAGGTAATTATGTGGTCAGGCTGATTTGTTTAGTTAGGATAGATGTTAATCAAATACACTCGGCGTCACAAAAATCGCACCTCCCCGAAAAAAAGTTACTTGAGTGTCTGGCTCTCATTCAAGTCATTATTGGTATCTACTGAAAGTGCGTTTATTAACCTTTAAATTGACAACTGTTTTGTTTCATAAACTTAAGAAATCTTCTGAGGACGAGACATTGAAATAACTGTTTCTAAAATACGTGTCGTAAAGATCACTAGTTGTGGTATAATGTGTCATTCGCTTTCCAAACGTTGAAGAGGATACACGTAAACTTCTGAAGCAAGATTTAAACCCCACAATATGGATACCACTGCTGGTGAAGCCGCTCGAGTGATTTTGCTACTGCAGTCAGGGATGCGACAGTGTGATGTCGCTCGGCAACTAAATCTATCCCGTTTTTCCCTTCAACGAGTATTCCAACGGTTCCAGGACACTAATGACTATATTCGGAGGTGTGGATCTGGGCGACAGCGCTCCACATCACAAAGAGACAATTGATTCATTGTATCGACATCTTTATGCAATAGATTCTCAAATGCTGTAGAACTGCAACTGCAGGTAATATCAGCTCGCAGAACATCTGTAAGCGTCTCTACGATCAGAAGACGGTTAAGAGAAAAGAAAATTGCAGCGCATAGGCCTGCAACTGGTCCAAAATTGACCGCACAGCATCGCAGAGATCAATTGCAATTTGCACATGATCATATTGATTGGACGATCGACCAATAGAGGACAGTACTTTTTTCGGATGAGACGAGAGTATGTCTTTTCTGCAGTGATAAACGCAGAAGAGTATACAGAAGGCAAGGGAAACGATTTGCACAAGCCTGTATTGAAGAAACAGTTGGATTCAAGGGTGGCTCAGGCATGTTCTGGGGTGGCATGTCAGTCGACGCCAAAACCAGCCTTGTCTGCATTTCTCGTAGTGGAGGTGCTCGTGGACAAGGGTCGCTGACTGCTCACCGATACATATTGGAGAACCTAGAAGAGCATGTGGTTCCATACGCGGGTTTTGTTGGCGATGGATTTACATTAATGCATGACAACGTCCACTGCCACACTGCATTAATTGTATTTGATTAACTTCAAGAGGTCGGGATCTCTGTTATGCGGTGGCCGGCGCAAATTCCAGACATGAACCCGATAGAGCACCTCTGGGATGATGTAAAGCAGCGAGTACGGACTCGTGATCCTGCCCCCACCACACTGCAAGAACTTGAGGAGGCTGTCATGTTGGAGAACGCATTGTTACGTTAATTAGATCAATAAAAGACCATATGGAAGCAGTAATTAAGGCAAGGGGTGGTAACACTAGGTTTTAGATCGTTTCAAAACATGTTTTTTTTTTTTAATTTTGTATGTTGCAATAAATCTTAATTTTCTTCTTGTGGAAATTAACTTCTTTTTTTTATTTCACGGTAAAAACAAATGATAACCATTATTTTTCCTAATGAGTAAATTTAATTCCCTTTCCAATGATATAACATACTCATAGACTCATTGATTAAATGGATTTAAAAGTAGTTTGAAGTAGAACTTTAAAGAGGTGCGATTTTTGTGACGCCAAATGTAGATCGACTATATTTTTCTGTTACACCAAAATATTTTTTTAAGAAGATCAATTTATTAATAAAATTGGTATTATTTTTTATTGCAGTCATAAGAAACTCACTGGGAAATCCAGAGATATCACCCAGTTAAAGGGTTTCTGGAGACGATCAAAAGTGGCTGCAAAGAAATCTGTGTCACAACATAGAAGAGCTTTGCAAGGTACTGGTGGTGGACAAAGGCCACCATCTCCAGGTGATGATCACCTAAAGATAACGGAATTCTGCACAACAGATTTTGTTAAAGAAGAAAATCTTTATGACAGCAATGTGGTCCCACAACTACAAGTAAGTTTTTGAATTGTATCTACCAAAAATATAATGATGCAACTTTGCTTTATTAACTTTTATTTATTTATTTACAGGGTGAAGATAATGACCAAGGTGTAGTTATTGGAGGAACTGAAGTGCAAAACAACACATTATATGACATAGACAAGGCATGTATGAATATTATTAGTTTTAGATTAAATAAGTCATTACTCATTTTTTTAAATAAATAAATCTTTTCTTTCCAAAGGATGAAATTTTACCAGTGAAGAGGTGAGTTTACCTGTAAAAACTGTGGTGCATCATACTGTTATTTTTTTTATAGGATAGGGTGACAAACAAGCACACAGTCCAACTGATGGTAAGTGGCTGCTGTGGCCCATAGACATCTACATCTATCCTCGTATGCAATTCATCAAATGCAGATGCGTTTTCACCCGTGAGGACTAAGATGGAATGCCTCGTTTCCAGTAAAAAGGGTCTCCGGTTCTCTACACTCACCATATGAAACAGCAGCATTAAGCTACTATTTCACACTGGTATTCTGTGAAAGCGTGGTTTTCCCAGGTCGAGCCGACCCATTCGTGCTACGACTATACTACTAATATAACTGCAGCGTGGCTCTACCACAAATATAGTTATAATTTTTTGATAATTATTTATAATTAAAACTTAATGAAAATCGTTATTCACTCAGATTGATATCAAGATCCCTGAATGCAGCAGAAAAACACAAATGGTGTTCCCTCCAAAGGTGGATAAGAAACAAAATAGAGAAAAGAAAACAAATAAGTTGTAAGTAGATTATTTGTATACAATGTTTATGATCTACTTTACTATATTTTCATGTTTTGTAAGTATCATTTAATAAATGATTGACATTGCCCTGTTATATCCATGAACAACCATTATTAGGAGAATTATGAGGAAAAAGGCATGATTGTATGATGTATGTATGTATGAGGACAGGAGGATAAAAATAAATAAATATATAAATCATTTATTTTCTCATAAATACAATACAATACATTACACAAATAACATTGAAATGGTACTATCTACTTAGTAAATAGGTACTTAACATCTGGTTGAGCCTAATGGTTATTAATTAAATAAATAAATCATGTCTGTTACAGGGTTGGCAAGGAAGCTTTATTAAGAAGCAATATAGAATTTAAGGAACGGGCTTCAGCAATGTTGGAGGAAGAACATAAATTAAAAATAAAATTTCAGGAACGAGAAATAGCTCATCAGCAGTTGCGGCATAAACTGGAAATTGACATATTATTATTAGAAAAAGAGAAAAAGAAATTAGAATTAGAATTGTTAAAAAAAAACTAGAATATAAGGACTAATTTTACATTTTATTAAATTTCGTTTTTTATATTAAAAATTTTGCTTGATAAAACGCTGTCTAATATTGCTCCTCTAACTGTAGATCTCTCAGTCTGTGGCCTGCGCCGCTGACGAACATACCGAACTATATCAATGTCTTCATTCATATCAATAGCTATGTTATGCAGCAGTGGCTAATGCTACAATTGTGGTTTTCGCTGTGCTTAGATTTATAAACATGCCTTAACCTATTACCTTGCCTACATCTGAATCTTTGTTTCCACAAGCCAAAACATCTCTCCACTGTATTCCTTGTTATAATGTGAGCTCTGTTGTAAGCTTCCTCTTTGTCATTACTAAGATTAAGCAAATGTGTAAAGAGATATGAAGTACTTGCATATCCACTGTCTCCAATTAATCTTCCATGAAAATCGCCATGTTCAAAGCGTTCTTTTTTTGTGCTTTCGTTGAAAACTCGAGAGTCGTGAGCACTTCCTCTCCAACGTGCAACTATGTCTCTGATTTTCAAGTTTGAATCACAGACAACTTGCACGTTGATTGAATAGTAACCCTTTCTGTTCCCATAGGCATCACTCATATCGCCACCTACCCTTTTGACTCGTATATGCGTGCAGTCTATAGCCCCTATCACCGAGGAGAAATTACATATACTTCTAAATCCTCTGATGGTTTCCTGTTATCTTCTATCTTCTAATATAGTTGGCATGTTGATGAATAAATGAGCTTTTTTAGCTAATGCTTTCTGAGTTGACTGATTGCTGAGAAATCCCATGCATATCTCCACTGTCATCTTAAATCTGAAATAAAATTGCAAATAATAGGTAAGCATACAGGGTGATGAGTGAAGCTATTCTTCTCTAGCGACGCCACACGTAAGCATAGTTTAATTTTGTATGAATCGAACTTAATTGATGACGAACCCAGTACCGTAATGCACAAGCCAATTGCACTGCTGGATCTATTGTGTTACCTCGAAATCACTCGGGATATCGTCTTTCACAAGATATTTTTCTAGCAAAAAGTTTGCTGAGCCTGTATTTTTTGAAGTGAAAACTTCTTTAGCGGCGTTGTACACTTTTTTGTACCGTAAAACCGGCCATCATTGCCCGCAATTTTACTTAATTTTGAGATTTTGCAAAAATTATTTACCAGAACGCGTAATAAAGTTGATCAATATAGCAATTACTATTAAAAGCTTTAAATCACAAAATGTTGAGAACCTGGCTTCAACAGAATTCAAGAAAAACGCGTTTAAATAGCCGGGCTAAATTATACGCACAACCGTCCAACATTGCTCAGTCTTATTTTTTCTAAAACTATCAATTCTAAGGCTTTGGAAATAAAATATATTATGGTAAATTATGCAAAGTTGCCATTTTTCTTGATCTAAATGTCGAAAACCTTTTATTTTTTATTTCAGTTGGGTGGGCAATGTTATACTACACACCAGCTACATTTTCTTACAAACTAAAACGGTGGCTTAGGGTTGTCACATAATGTGATAAATAATAATCTTTTCATGTTATAAATTTTTGTATTAAAAATCAGTCAGGTACAATAGTTATTCATTGCAGTTATAAGTATTAAGCGCTTTGCGCCCGGAAAGGTTTCCGACAAAATCTTAGAAAGAAAAAAAATTTCAACGCTTCCCGGACACATATAAACAAATAACTAAACTAAGAAAGAAAAAAATAACCTAAGTATACATATAGTGTGCAAACAAAATACTTTTACATAACACAGTACTCAAAAATTTTCTAAAAAAATCAGTTGTTTTATAAATTTTAATCGTGTAGTAGATATTTTAATTTATTTGTTTACACCTTATATTTTTTACTTTAACCAACAGTCTTAATAAAGGAACTTTATAAAAAATATTTGGTTGTTGTCATAGCACATAGATATTTCAAAACTAAGTTGACTCTTAAAGTACTACTTACTACTACACAACAATAACAAAAACTATTATCACAAAAACAATAAGTTCGTAGTAAATAAGAACTTCTGAGAAGTTGTAACTTCTATAAGTTTATTAATAATCAAAATAAATGTAATCGTCATCATCAGCAAGTACAAAATCAGTTTCGGCGTCATTAATTGCTAGAAGCTCAGCAGTCTTGACAATATTCTTACAGTCTATTACTTCGATATCCGGTGATTTTACTTTTATAAATTTTGAGTTGTCATTTTTGCCGACTTTTCTTAAGAAAGATACTTTTAACTTGCCATTTTTTGGCTTGTCTAAAATGATTCCCACGTAATAATCAACTTTTTTTGTAAAAAAATATCTAACCAAAACATATTCGCCTATTTTATACTCTACAGAAACTTCTTCGCGCGTTGAACTAGTCGAGGGCCCTGGTTCTGAAAAATGATCTACTGTTACAGGAACCAGTGGTTCATTCAAACATAAATTAGGACCTGTTTTTGTGATAGTCGCTACTATGTTCTCACTGCCTATAGATAAATTAGAATCATAAGCATCTACAGGAGAACCTGGCTCATCTTGATCGGAAACAATCCCGCATATATCTGAATCACTGTGAATACTCATATCGATATCACTGTTGCTTGATTTACTGTCTCTTCGTTTCATCTTCTTCTTTAAGCCTTTCATATTTTTTTCTTTGGAAACTTTAAAGTCTTTTCTAATTCTTTCCTTTGGTCGCAGCTTAACATTGGATGTTTTTGTTTTTTTAATTTTTTCCGCTTTTGTTGAAATGTTTCTAGACTTTTCTGTGTAAAAATAAAAATCATTTTGTTTTGCTATCGTTTGTCTAGCTTCGATATTTTCTTTATCATAATCGCTTTGGTAAATAATATTTGACGTACGTTTTGTGGACGGTATAGTTACACAAGATACAATCTTTGGTTTTTGTTTTTCAGTCTTCAATAGGTTAGTGTTTTCTTTACACGAATCATGATTCTTTGGTTTCATGATGGTACCGCTTGAAGCATTTATTTCACATAATGTGGGTGTAATTTGTGAGAGTAAAGTTCCGTTTTTTTCGTCTAATATGTCAATTTCAGTAAAAGTTGGTAAAGCTTGATTATCTGTTGTATGTGTGCTTAAATTGTATTCGTCATTATTTCCTATCATATCATCAATTGTATCATTTTCGTTAACGCTATTTTTGCCTGCCAAGAATGATAAAGAGAAGTTATCACAGAAGTATAGTTCGTCTTTGAATTGATCTAAAATTTTATTCTCTTTGCCGACACTTGCCGTTGAAGTTGTATCGTTCAATATCTGGTTTTTAGCTTTTTTGAACAGCGGTACTTTTTATTAGAGCAGATTTGTTTTTTGCGGGACGTTTCTTAGTGTCTTTAGTCCGGTTTTGAATATCATCAACTGTAACAGATTTTCCAGGTTCAACCACGACTTTCCTGTTCCTATTTGATGTCAATGGTTTAGACTGTCTGGTAGTTTTTAAATATTCTAATAAAGCACTGTCAATATTATGAGTATTGCCCATTTCTTCGGCACATTCTGGGATTCTTTTCAAAACTTCACGTGGATTAAAAGGGTATATCCCAGTGGCTCTAAAGCCGCTTTTTATGTTTTGTACCTCGTTCATTTCAATTGTTTTAATCAATTGCGTAAGCAATTTTGGGAAGTGGTTTTTGTTGATTGCCTTTTGATTTGGGTTTTCCATTTTGTACTGTAATAAGATCTTGCGCCAGGCCTTTTTAAGGGGCGCAAAAAAAGCCACATCAAGGGGTTGGGTGAGATGTGTAGAATTAGGAGGAATAAACACAAAAGATATGTTGTGATCCTGACATAACTCAATGACGCCTAAACTTAAGTGACTGGACAAGTTGTCACATATGACTACTTTTTTTACCACTCAAACCCTCTGCCCATGTCAATACAACATTTTTAAAATAATCTTCAAATATTGTGGAATCAAACCATCCGGATGATGTTCGGTTGTATCTTGCACCACGAGGGCCTCCTTGAATCCATTCCGAATATAAATTTTCTGCCTTATATACCACATACGGAGATAGACTAGTACCGTTGGCTGCCGCAGAAAACATTAGCGAAATGGCGCCTTTTGAGGAGTTAAGGACTCGCTCAGGATATTTTACACCCCTGCGAAATATGCATTTTGAAGAACCTGGGTCGTCGCTTAGGTTAGTTTCATCTAGATTTAAAATATTAGATGGAGGAACATCTCTTACAGTTTCTTCTAAATTCTGAAAATATTCTAAGAAATCCTTCGCGCTTTTTTGAGCCCGCGCTGTTTTAATATTTTGCGTACTTCTAACAGAAAGTTCACCTGCATGCCGATTAAGAAAACTTGTAACCCAGTCTTTGCCTGGTGGTTTTCCATGAAATAAATTTTCACGATTATTTTTTTTCAGATATTCGAAAACAGTCAAACGTAAATCAAGCTTCGTTAGTGGGCAACCATATTCGCCGGCTGCAATCAATGCTTGAATACTCTTTTCCTCTTGGAAAGAGAGTCGAGTAGGAGTTCCAACATTTTTGTTATGGCACTCTTTCACTTTGTTTAGGATGGTGCGCCTAGGTATATCAAATGTTTTTTCGGCTGTTCTAGAGGACATTCTATTTTTTTTAACATTTTCTACTGCGAGGTGCAGCATCTCCTCTGAATAATTTTTATATGGCCGAGACCCGAGGACTCTGCGATTTCTTCTTTTAATAGGCTTTCCCATACTGCAAAAAACATACTAAACTATAGTTTCTATTTTTCAACAAAGTGACTAGTTATTGAGACATAGACACTACATATTTTTTGTATCGTATTTATCTTTCTAGCCAAATCATCTTTAACACAATCCATTCACTGTTTTTTTGGCCGAACAAACTGTTGTCGTAACATATTCATCATTTTCCCGCATCACACGTCCACACCATGACAATCATACAACCGTAAATATAAAATAAAAACAGATTTTATATTTAGTATGGGTGCCAACCCTAACACTATTTTTGAAGTGGGCAATGTTGTCACTCCTGTGTTCACGCAACTTCAGGAATCATTGCCCACCCCGTTATCTTGAAAATGATATGATTTAAAGGTCTCAAACTAGCATAGAAATGAAGCGTAGTACTTATTGTAACACTAAACTTAAAATCACTTACCTGAAAGATGTCGTACGCTACAGTGTGAAAAAACGTAAAACAAGATTTTTGCACCACCTCACACTAGTCCTACTTCCGACATGTCTTGCCGACAACTGAGTGAACTTTGTAACGTCACGAGCATTTAGTGTTGCCAAAAAATATTCTAATTTACGCTAAATATTGAAAAATGTTGTCAGCTGTGTAAATTTATTTACAATTCAAGATTTAAGTTATTTTTCGTGTTCGGGCAAAGATATCCGCTAAGGGCAATGATGGCCGGTTTTACGGTAATGGGTAAAAAATGTTAAACTCGCGTCAGGACACGTGACCTGATCGAAAATTCGTAACACGGATGAAGAGTTTACAGCTGGCGCGGCGTAGGAGAGGAAGTATCCCCCTCTCTTTCTACGGTGCGACCATTTAAATAGGTTCGAATCAAAACTGTTCCTTTCTTACTTCAGCTATCATAAACCGATCGTATCAGTTTTAGAGATTGACGATGATGGTTCTGGTAATAATGATGGTGAAAAAGTCGTCGAAATTATGGATGGAAGTTGATTTTTCTGAGAGAATATATATAATATACAAAATATTAACAAGTTGTTATAAGTATTTAAAATAGTTAAGTTAAAAGTAATAACGGTTTTTTATCTACAATTTAATTTGTTTTAATGTTCAAGTACCAAAATTCGTCATTCCAGCTATACTGGTTCAGTATTATCAACAGATGCTTAACTTCAAGTGTTAAAGCAATAAAATAATCACACGACAATAGATTAACATTACAGCTGTAATTGCTAAGTCTCAAGTGGAATCCTGCCATCCTATTTGAAATGAACTATAATAAATATTGTCATGTTTGTGTACGATAGCGCAATAAATAAATATTGTATTTTACCACATAAATGATAGTACTTTTCTACTGATAATTAAAGCAATTCGTGCGAAATTATTCCCTAACCATTCCAAAATATCAAAAATGCACAACGTTGATATTCAAGTTTTCACTTCTGCCGACACTCCCGGAATGCAACTTGTCATTTTTCTTAGACTAACTTGGTGTCGTCGTATTTTTCAAACGGATTAACCCTCACACGATCCGTATTACTTTCTCGGAACATTTCCGCATAGTTATCCATGTCGTCTTCATCGAAGTAATCAACAAAATCAATTATATCCATGTTAAATAAAAATACTGGAACTGACTGAAATATAGGTTAGACACTAGTTAAACAAGGGTTTTCGGCTGTTTCAATTTAAACAACGTCTAAGCTGTTTAATGTTTTATCTTAGCTTGTTATACTCATATCTACGATAATTATCAATCTTCAAAGATAAAGAAAATTACAACATAATAACACTATAAAAAGTTATTATTAACCTTATTAATTTAAGATGGCGTAAAGCCTGCCTTGAAATTTCATAATACCGAACTCTACCACGAACATTAAAATTGTTAGTTGTTTTATGTGCTGCTCTGCCACGTGCTCGGTGGTGAAGGAATACATGGCCAGGAAACTTACATGTCCAAAAAACAAAATATTTTGTGGTCGTGTGTTAGGATCCACTAATGCTCTGCAGGGGACAGCGCACCAGGTGATCCATAAGTCCATAACTCTCTCAAAAATTACAGGAGGCGTGTGTTTGTAATTTTTTCTAAATTAAAGGTAGTCAATGATTTTAACGACCATATATATAGGTTGTTAGTGTAAACACCGTTATCCTTGAAACCAGTGGTTTGTTTTCACTTATAGAACGTAAATTCAATGAAAAATAACATTTTTTTTAGTAAAATCTCAATGTTTCCTTAATGCCTCCATTTTTGCCCGTCCTAATCCAGGATGAAAGTATGAAGGAAAAGTTACATCACAGGTTATGTGTATAGTTCGTTTCAAATAGGATGGCAGGATTCCACTTGAGACTTAGCAATTACAGCTGTAATGTTAATCTATTGTTGTGTGATTATTTTATTGCTTTAACACTTGAAGTTAAGCATCTGTTGATAATACTGAACCAGTATAGCTGGAATGACGAATTTTGGTACTTGAACATTAAAACAAATAAAATTGTAGATAAAAAACCTTTATTACTTTTAACTTAACTATTTTAAATACTTATAACAACTTGTTGATATTTTGTTTAATCAATCACTCTGAAGAACATTTTTTCTTTCATCTAATTTTCCATACTTGAATCCAAGTTTTTTTAATAGTCTCCAGAGTGTAGTTTCTGAATATTCAAAATCAGCTTCACTTCTCATCAATGATTGATAAATCTCACGTAACGTTGGAATCTCGTTGTTGAGGTAAAAATTGTAAATAGTCCTCCTCACATGTTCCTCTGTAAAATTATCAATTCTTTTAAAACTTATCTTGGTCCGTTTACGAGGAAGATGATTAGATCCCGCTGACACTATTCTACAAACAGTTCTTATAGGCACGTTTGTTAATTCCGATGTCTCTTTAATCACTCCCTTATCACCCATGCGTTTCAAAAGCTTATTGTAAACACTCAAAACTATGTCTTGAGCGTCTGAACTTAAATGTCTTTTTTTCGCTGAACACTATTTTCATCACTTGTAGATGCACTATTTGATATTTCCCATGGTCGAAACATGTTTATTTGTACGTCTTTGTAATAACGAAGTTACGAGACGACTGAATTTTTGACAACAATGTCATCGTGTATTTAACAAAAGCATCAAAACTTGTTTGCTGCCACAAAAATACCACGTCAGGATAAGGTCTTCCCAGGTATCGGTTGTAAATACCACTTCTTTTGTTATCGCCTAATGACCGCTTCAAGTACTATCCTGCCATGCTATTTGAAATGAACTATACCTATTGTGTTTTTATTGGAATGTTGCGTAGGTAGCTAGCGCGGACAGTGATCTTACCAGTGATTACGTCACTCGGGCGCATAGGGTATCTATGAATTAGTTATATATGAATTTACGGATGGTGTCGGACAGAAATTTTTTAAATTTTATGAAAGAAAATAGCGTATTTTTAATTCATTGAATTTAAGTTCTATAAGTGAAACCAAACCACTGTTTTCAAGGATAATGGTGTTTACACTAACACCCTATATATATATATATATATATATATATATATATATATATATATATATATATATATATATATATGTATACAACGTGTCCCAAAATTCAACGATAAGCCAACACCGGAGGATAGACCTGCCCTGGACTAATCGGGGAAAAAAAGAAAAAAATATATATACCAATTATATTTTAAGTTATATAAAAAAATGAAATTCTTCAGAAATTGAGACCGTTTATGATATTTTTCACTACCATGACCACAATTTTTTTAATATTTTTTTCTTTTTTTATAGGCAACCTGAATAGTACTACTATCTACCACAATTCTTAAAAACTCCAGAATAACTCTTGTTTTATCACGAAAATTAATGAAACTTATTTTATTCCCTAAATTTTTTGAAGACTTTTAACCAAATTTAGTGTAAAAAAAAGTATGAACACTAGTATGGCAAGTTTTTTTAAAAATTGACGCAACTAACCAACATTCCAAAATGGTATAATACTCTAGGAAAACAAGTTATAAAAAAATAGGGGCCAAATTCCTTAAATTGTCAGTAATCACTTTTACTACATGCCCAAAATGGGTTCTTGTTACAATTTCTAGGAATTTGAATGGGGCATTAATACCTTAGATGTTAGAGAGAGATAGATAGATAGAGATATTTACGTTAAAAAGAGACGACAACAGGGCAGGTAGAGAAGCTGTTATTATTCTCAGAAAGTCAGTTCAGTACGCTCTGCTCCTTTGTTTACTGCGCACCGTTCCCAATTCAACTTACGTGGCTCTCGTACATACTATGGACTTTTGGCTTGGCTTTTTGGACTGGAAGCGACCTACAAACTTAACTGACCTGGCATTATTTGGACTGGAAGTGATCTGCAAACTGAACTGACCTGGCATTATCTTGGACTACGATTGTGTGTTTTGTGATTTAGAGTTCTGGCGCATTTTGGACTGTTTGGCGTTTAACATTGCGCAACCGTACACACCACAGAAATACGCTAATATGCATTTAATCTATGGAGAATGCCGATGTAATGCTAACGCTGCTAGCAGACTGTATCGAGAAAGATACCCAAATGCTCAAAAATATCCTGATTATCGAGTGTTTATTTAATGTGGATCAAGCGTTTTCGGAGGGTCGTATGCCATCCAATAGGAGAAGCGCTGGAAGACCTAGATTGGATCGTGATGAAGAAGTTCTCAATGAGATAGAAAATGACTCGACTACTTCGGTACGTGCCATAGAAGAAGCTACAGGAATCCCGAAAAGCTCTGCACATCGAATATTAAAATGTCACAAGCTTCACCCATATCACTACAAGCGATTGCAGACGTTATTACCGCGGGACTATCCGCTACAAGTCACATTTTGCCGTGTAATGCTGCAAAGGCACAGTGAAGATCCCCAATTCCTAGACAAATTCTATGGTCGGATGAAACAACATGCA